TTCCTGCGGCATTTCCTCTGCCCGTTTTTGGGGCTGTTGATGAGCTGTGCAGGAGCTAGGAGCAGAGCTGGTGACTGAGCCCTGGACACTGAACAAGCAGCCGGAGCCAGGGGCAGACTGAACGCCGTTCGCCACTTGATTCACACGCACACAGCAGCGTGTTCAGCCATCCGTCTGTCCATCTGCATCCGGCGGGATAAAACTGCCTGAGCGCAGGCTGGCTGTGCAGACAGGCGATGATGTGTGGGGGATTACCTGATGATGGGAAATAGACAACTGTGATGGGGCATGCCAAGAGCCTGAAATGTTAAGGCAGTTCCTGCAGTGTGGATGTGGAGTCCGTTTTGGGTTTTTCCTCGTTGCGGAGTTGCCCGGGAGCCAGGGCCAGCTGCTCTGAAGCTTGGTGCTCTGCGGCCTGACTGCATTAGCAGGAGCAGACACGGACAGATCTGGAGCTGAAATGACATCAGAGGCACCTCTACCCTTCATCGGTTTGGATCCTCGACAGTCCGTGTTCTAGCAGCCCCCCCAATGGCAGAAAGGGATGTTCTGTGCCGTTGCTAGGCGCTCTTGTGGTATCTCGGCAACATCCTCCTGGGCCGTGGAGCACGTGGGGCCGTTGCCGTGGAGACTCCAGGGCGAGAGAAGCACTCCTGTTTCTGCTCCCGAGAAAGAGGTGGGGGCGGGGGGGGCACGTCTGGCCGTCCTGCGGCAGGGCCCAGGACCGAGGGCGTCTGCCGTGGTGGGGGGGTGTAAAAACTGTGCGCGTTTCGTCTGCTTGACCCGCGAGAGGCTGTGGGACAGAGCGGCCCTGGAGAAGTCACGTGGGTGCAGCAGAGGGGGGGAGCCGATCAGAAAGCCGGTCCCGGACACGTATCCCAGCCTGCCCTTTCTAACGGCCGCTCCTGATCCATTTCTCTGCTGCTCGGGCGTTGTTGTTTTTTGAGGAATAGCGCGAGATCGCGGAGGTACAAGAGGGAGCTATTTCGGGAGTGACAGACGGATAAGGGCTGGTATCGAAGCGAGTGGGACAGGGCTAGGAAGTGAGATTCCCGATTCCCTCCTCTTGTTTTTTCCCGGGATACGGGCGCCTCGTGGGTTAGGGGTTGGGG